AGGTTAAGACCTCCAGTGAGACCTACACACACTTCAAGTTGAGAATCTACCTTGTGTTCCCCAGGAAATGGGTGTCCACTTCAAGATAGGGGCCAGCCACCCAGCCAGCCACAGAGTAAGAAGGAAAGAAAGATATATAGAATAAAGAAAGGTAAAAAGCCCAGAGACAAAATATAGTTAAAGAGAAACAGGATAATTTAAGTTAGGAAAGCTGACTAGAAACAAGCCAAGCTAATGCCGGGCATTCATTTGTATGAATAAGTTTCTGTGTATTTATTTGGGAGCTGGATGGTGGGCCCCCAAGGGTTAAAAAAAAAACAAAACCACACTTGCCCTTGAGATAGTAAGCTTCTAGGTGTCTCTTTGAGGGGAGGGTTGAATACTGAGTAGAAAATACTATCAGTTGGGCATGAAGAGGGACCTTTTGGGGGTTGTGGGGGGATTAGGAATCCTGGAAGATCCCTCAAAAATGCCCCCCCCCACAGCTTGACAAAAAGAAAGTTGAGGTCAGAGGGGAATTTCCTTGTGGCTCCTTGGTGGTGGGACCAGTTTGAGTGACATTGGGCTGAGGTAACAGCTGTTCTCAATCACAAAGCAGTGTGTGTTGCAGAACCCTGGGATGCCACCACCACACCACTTCTTCAGAGTCCTCAAAAGGGACACTGCACCTGTTTACAGAGGAGGAGTGAGGTCTTTCTGTGCCCTGTGCTCACTCATGTGTCAATGGGCGTGGTCCCGCGTCAGAGTGCATGTGTGGTCAAGAACACATGGGGGCTGATCTTCAGTGTCCATCCTGTTTTGAGAGTCTCTCTGTTTTCCCTCTATACAGGCCAGCCTAAGCAGGCCTGAGAGCTTCTGGGAATCCCAGCATCTCTGCCTCCCCTTATCTATAAGAATGCCTGGAGCTCAGACGTTCCTGATTTGTGTCCTGCTCTGCTTGGGCTCTAGGGAATCAAATTCAGGCCCTTACCTTTGCACAGCAAGTACTTTTGCCCACTGAGCCATCTCCCAGCCTGAGGCCGTGACAACTTGTACAGCACTGGAAAGGCGATGGAGCTACAAAGGAAAGTAGGACCTGGAAGGCTGACCCCCAGCCAGCCCAGAATCATCCTGCCATTTGCCTCTCAAGGGATGCATCGGGAAGTCTGCTGCCCCGAGTAACCTACATGTGTTCAAGGCTGGAGCCACAGCCTTCAAAGCTTAGAAGCTAGTCTCTGGCACCTGAGTATTAGTCTGGCATTGACAAGCTGGGCCAACTCCAGTTGTAGACGAAAGAGGCACTGGAGAGGTGGAGAGAGCCGAATAGGACTCGAGCCATGGTTTGACATGCATCAGGCTCTGCTTGAATAACAATAATCAAAACACTTCCCGATAAGAATTAAGGAAGCAGGTGGACAAGATGGTCCAGGGTAAAAGCGCAGGCTTGACAACATGAGTTTTAACCCTAGAGTCCCTGGTGGGAGGAGAGAGCTGATTCTGAAAAGTTGTCCTCAGACCTCCACTTGTGTGTGTTCCCAGTGATTAAAAAAAAAAAAGTGTCATAATCATCCAGAATAATTGTCATCCGAGAGGCTTCAGCCAGCAACCGATGGGATCAGATGCAGAGACTCACAGACAAACGTTAGTCCGAGTTCAGGAAATCCTTTGGAAGTGGGGGAGGAAGGATTGTAGGAGCCAGAGGGGACGAGGACACCACAAGAAAACCCACAGAGTCAACCAAACAGGACTCATAGGGGCTTGCAGAGATTCAACGGACAATGAGCGTGGGTCTGACCTAGGTCCTCTGCATGTATGTTATGGTTGTGTAGCTGGGTGTTCTTATGGGACTTCTAACAGTGGGAGCGGGCTGTCTCTGACTCTTTTGCCTGCTCTTGGGACCCTTTTCCTCCTACTGGGTTGCCTCCTTCAGCTTTGATATGAGGGTTTGTGTCTAGTCTTATTGTAACTTGTTATGCCATGTTCGGGTGATATCCCTGGGAGGCCTGCCCTTTTCTGAAGGGAAGACAGAGGAGGAGTGGATGGGGTTGGGGGCAGTGGAGGGGAGGTAGGGAGGAGGAGCTGGGAGGAGAGGAGGGAGAGGAAACTGCAGTCAGGATGTAATATATGAGAGAAGAATAAAATAATAATAATAAATAAAAAAGATTTCATCTATTTCACATGTACGGGTCTTTGCCTGCATGTATGTCTATACATCACATGCAGTTCCTGAAGAGGCCAGAAGAGGTCACTGAATTCCAGGAACAGGAGTTACAGGTAGTTGTGAGCAGCCATATGGGTGCTGAGAATCAAACCCAGGTCCTCTGAAGGAGCAGCCAGTGCTCTTGACCACTGAGTCATCTCTGCAGCCCTTCCCAGTGATCTCAATCGACTCAATCACAATATTTAACACAGCAAATACATTAAATTCCAGGAATTATTTCAGGGACTACTAAAATATTTTTTGCATGTGCATGTGTGTGTACATGTATGTGTGTACATGTATGTGCGTTCCCATGTGTGGGAAGGTATGAGTGCAAGGACTTGTGTGTGCAGAGGCCTGAGGTTGATGTCAAGTGTCTTCCTCAGTCTCTCTCCACTCCTGAGGCAGAGCCTCTCATTGAACTCAGAGCTAGCCATAAAGAACTGGCTAGCCGCTGGGCGGTGGTGGCGCACACCTTTAATCCCAGCACTCAGGAAGCAGAGGCAGGTGGATCTCTGTGAGTTCGAGGCCACCCTGGTCTACAGAGGGAGATCTAGGACAGGCTCCAAAGCTACACAGAGAAACCCTGTCTCAAAGAAAAAAATAAAAGAACTGGCTAGCCAGCTTGCCCAAGGGATCTTGTCTCTGCCTTTTGAGAGCTGGGATTAGAAGCAGGCAACCACACCCAACCTTTTCTGTGGATTTCTGGGATCTAAATTCCAGTACTCACACTTGCATGGCAAACATTTCTCCACTGAGACATCTTTCCAGATCTATTTAAAATGTCTTGGATGTGACCTTAGCCTGGAAGAATGTCCAGGGGTGAGTCTCTCTCTAGCTTTACCTGGGTAAAGAGGCAAAAGGCTGCTACAGCTGGCTGAAAATCACTAACCAGGTTCAGGGTAAAGGAGTGTGAGTCCCACAAATCTTATCTTCTGGAATAGTCTAGGAAGTCTTGAAGTGCCACATAATCATGTCCAATATGAAATGGCAGAGACATCTCCTGGGCACAGAATAAGCCCTCACCTGCAGTCAGAGGAGAGTGTTCTGGCACACAGCTGCTCCTCTGCACCGACCGGCCTCGCCTTGCAGAGCACAAAGCATGGAAGACTCGATCCTGTTTCTGGGTCTCATTGAACATCCCACTGTGAGCCAGACACGACTTTATGGGTGCCTCCAGCTCGCTCCCTGACTGCCTTCCTCAGGGTCATCAGGCCTCCCCTGCAGTTCTTCTGTGGTCTCTTTTACCACCCCTTTTACCTGCCATTTTAAAAAGATGTTTTGTGTGTGTGTGCGTGTGAGTGTGAGCAAGCACACATGCACATGCATGAGGTCAGTGCCGTGGAGGCCAGAAAAAAGCACTGGATCCCCTGTAGCTGGAGCTTCGGAGAGTTGTGAGCTGCCAGACATGGGTACTGGGACTAGAGCGCTGGTCTTCTGGAGGAGGAGCAAGTGTTTTAACCTCCAAGACATCTCTCTAGTCCTGCCTGCCATTTTTTTTAATCCATGTTTTATAACTAATCCGGAAGTGTCATGTGGACAGACCACAGGCTAGTGAGGAACATAATCTGTGATATTTTATTTAAAGAATTAGCTGTTTTTGTTTGTTTTTAGACAAAGTCTCACATATCCCAGGCTAGCCTCCCATCTCCATATGGCTGATGACCTTGAACCTCTAATCCTCCTGCTTTTACCTCCCAAGTGTGGGTATTCCAGGTGTGCTCCACCACACCTGGTCTATGACGTGCTGGGATCACACCCAGTGCCTTGTGCAGGCCAGGTGACCACTGTCACTCAAGCCACACCCCAGCCACTCAGAGCGCTGTTCTCATTGCTGTTGTCACGTAGCTGCTGCTGAGGTCTTTGCTCCAGCTCATGTATCTGCACTGTACCTGTGTGCTGTTTGGAACTGGGACACCACAGCAAGAATCTGAAAGCCACATCCTCTCAGTGTCACCCACTGCCATCAGTATGTCCTTGGTGGCCATTGCTGTCTGCTCCAGACGGGTCAGTGGTCCTTTTCGCAGTCAGCCCCAGCTCTAGTTCTCTGATTTCTCTGAAAAGCTGCTGCTGCAGGCTGAGTGCCTCCCACGGCTCAGGCTCTTCTGAGGCAGGCTGGCATCTGAAAGCATAGTGCTCAGGAACCAATGTCTGAGGAAACTCCAACATCTAGTTACCACTCGTTGCCAAGCAACTGGCATGAGCTGGATACCCATTAGTTTCATCACTATTTCTACTCTCCAGGAAGATGCTTTGCCCAGTGGCCTGTGAGCTCTGCCCTGTGAGCTCACGTGTACTGGTGGAATGACCCAAACTTTACTTTTAGGGAACTGTTGTCACCACTGGGCGGGAAGACAGAAATCAGTCTCACTTCACTTCAGAGGTGACCTTGTTTCCAAGAGGGCAAATGACGTTTGGAGTCAGATTAGGGGAAAGTCCTGGGTTCTTCGAGGGAGAAAACAGAGTGGTGTCCTAACACGTTTCAGAGGCTGGGGTGTAGCTCAGGTGTACAGTGCTTGCATAACATGCACAAGGTCCCAAGTGTGATCCCCAGCACCACATAGACCAGGTGTGCACATCTGTAATCTAGCACACAGGCGGTATAGGGAGGAGAATCAGAAATTTGGGGACATCACTGGTCATCATTGAGGCCAGCCTAGGATGTGTGAGACTTTGTCATTTTGGGGAATGCTGAAGTGTGTGAACAGTGCTGAGTTTTGAGCTGAACCACCCAGAGACAAATGCCCTCTGGTGATGCCAATGTGAATTTCATGACCTTGTTCTTGGGTCTGAGTCGGGGCACCTCCTGGGTTCTCCCCAGGCACCCCCTGGCCACCTTCTTCCACCTGTTCTTCCGCGTGAGCGCCATCGTCACCTACGTGTGCTGTGACTGGTTCAGCAGGAGCTTCGTGGGCTGCTTCGTCACTGTGCTTCTCCTTCTGTCCTTTGACTTCTGGTCTGTGAAGGTAAGGCTCCCTCTCCAGGGACATGTGGGCTTTGCTCCCAGACGGTGATAGGGGATCCAGGGCTGCTTTTGTTTAAACACCGAGGGGCCAGCAAGAGCGCTCAGCAGGTGAAGGGTACTTCTTGTCAAGCATGGACCGCAGTATGATTCTTGGGATCTACATGGTGCAAGGAGAGAACCACAACTTGTCCCTTGACCTCCACAAGTATGCTGTGGCACATGAGTGCCCTTCTCTTCCACACAAAATCAATGTTTAAAAATTTTACGGATTACTGGGCCCATGTCACTTATAATTAGAGAGCAAAAATGCTTCAGTAAGTGACTTCCAGGGTCAGTTGTCACAGGTTCACAAATGCATCATGGGGGTGACGACCCCATGTGGCTTTGGACTTTGTACAGTTTTCATGATACACACACACACACACACACACACACACACACACACACACACAATATGACCATCTGTTTTATTTTGAGGCAGGATCTTTGTTTTTTGAGACAGCATCTCACTATGTAACCCTGGCTAACTCCAGCTCACAGAGATCTGCCTGAGGACTGGGGTTCAAGGTGTGCACTGCCCACCATTACCTGGCCAGAATTCCACTTTTTAAAATGATAAGGGCCAGTATAGTGGCACACCTCTTTAATATCAGCACTCAGAGGATAGGAGGGAAGGGGGTAGGTGGGCAGAGGCAGGTGGATCTCTGTGAATTTGAGGCCAGCCTGGTATACCTAGTAAGTTCTGGGCCAACCAAGTGAGACCCTGTCTCAGAAAAAATACAACAAAACAAAAAAAGTAAGCTTGTTAAAGACAAGAAGCCTGGAAAGCTCACTTGAGGAACAGTTACAATTCAACATCCTTTTTCCCTTTTTCTTTTTTGTGTGAGCATGCACACATGTGCTGTAATGTACATGTGGTCAGAGGACAAGCTGCAGAGTCAGTTCTCATTCCACCATATGGGTCCTGGGGAATTGAACTCGGGTCAGCAGGCTTGGCAGAAGCCTCTTCACACACACACACACACACACACACACACACACACACACACACACACACACACCGTCATCTTACAGCCCACATCCTTCTCTTGATATCCTCTGCAGTTCACAACACACATTAGTCAGTGCATTGGCACACACCCAGTGCTCACCACTTAGGAAGCTGAGGCAGGAGGCTTGAGACAATTAGCCATTTTGTTCCTTGTGTGCTCACAGCACTTTTGCCCACTTTCCTCAGAATGTAACTGGAAGACTCATGGTGGGTCTTCGATGGTGGAACCAGATAGATGAAGACGGAAAAAGCCACTGGATATTTGAAGCCAGAAAGGTACTCTCTGAGACAAGACAAAACTATTAAGAACCTGGACAAGGCTGTGTGCAGCTTACACAGGTTCCCTGAGTACTGTGTGTGCCAGACCAGACCCTGCCCTACACAAATCCTCTGTGAAACCCACACAGCAACAGTGCACAGTAAACAAGCAAAAACAAGTCACTTGTGGTGATATTTTATTTGTGCACCTCAATAAAGCTCATCTGAGGATCAGAGGAAAAAGCCAGCCACTATAGTAAACATAGAGATCAGGCAGTGGTAGCACACGCCTTTAATCCTAGCATTCGGGAGGCAGAGATTCATCCGGATCTCTGTGAATTCAAGGCCACACTGGGAACAGAGCCAGGTGTGGTGGCACACACCTTTAATACCAGCACTAACTATAGAGGTCTGGAGGTCTGTACAGACAGACAGGAAGTGATAAAGCTGGGCAGAAAGAGGAAGTGATGTAGCTGGGCGGAGAGGGGAAGATGGCAGGGCACAGAAAGGATATAGGCGTGAGTATACAGGAAGTAACTCTCTCTGAAAGGCTGAGAGTTGGTGAGGTTGTCTGTGGCTTGTCCTATTCCTCTGGTCTCTCAGTTTCACCCCAATATCTGGCTCCAGGTTTTTTATTAGTAAGACCATTAAGCAATTCATCTTACAGTCACTGCTTGAAAAAGGACAGTGACTGTTCCCCAACAGGTCTCTCCGACCCACATGGCCACCACTGAGGCAGAGGCGCGCATCTTCTGGCTTGGCCTCATCGTCTGCCCAGTGATCTGGATCGTGTTCTTCTTCAGCACCTTGTTCTCCTTGAAGCTGAAGTGGCTGGTAAGATGCATCCTGATCCCCCTGCTGCTGTGACAAACAGGGGCTGGAAGTGGTCTGACCCGGTGGTCACTCGAACAGTTTGGTGGAGATGGCCACGTAGTGGATACATTCACCATTTGGAGGGTGTATTGGGGCTTCTGTCATTTTTGCAGTTATATAACCATCACAGCCAATCTTAGGGTTTTCAAAAGATTTTATTATAATTGTGTGTGTGTGTGTGTGTGTGTGTGTGTGTGTGTGTGTGTGTGTGTGTGTGCGCGCGCGCACACACGCGCGTGTGTGTATCTGCGTGTGGTGTGTGCGGCAAGTGCAGGTGCCCTCAGGACCCCGAAGAGGGCATGGGTTCCCCTGGAATTGCAACTACAAGCCTTTTTGTAAGCTGCTGACAGGAGTGTTGGGCACCAAACTCAGGTCCTCTGAGAACAGTAAGCTCTCCAGCCCATTTTAGAATTATTTTCATCACCCCCACCCAAAGAAAATCTATACTTTGTAGACCTTGCCCTCTATCCCGTTTTCCTGCCCCCTGGCACTCACCTTCCTAGACAGACTTGCCTGAGGGTGACATCAGTACAGTTGCGGCCAGCTTTCTGTCCCAGACGGTGTTCCAGATGGTGAGTGACCAAGTTCTTACCTCCCAGGTGCTCAAAGTGAAGGGCATCTGTTGGCAACTGCAATTCCTAACAGTCTTCCTACCAGCTGGCTAACCATGGTTTTTACTGTGTATATGTAAAATCTACCATATTGACTATTTCCAGTCTATAGTTCTTGCCTGTGAAATAATATATTTGTTCTTCTCTAAGAGGCTTCTTTCACTTGGCACATGTTCAGGTCCAACCAAACTATAGTGTGTATCAGTACACTGTTTCTTTGCATGGTTAGTATCCATAGTATGAGTATACCACATTCTGTTTCATTCATTCATTAGAGGATAGGGAATAATGCTGATATGAAATTGTTGTTTCTGAGGTACCGGGGAAGGAACCCAGGGCTGTGTGAATGCTAGGCAAGTACTCCACTGAGCTACATCCTCAGCCCCCAGGAAGGAGTTTTTATTAAAAAGTACAGTATCCATTAACAGACCACCTTTCTTGGGTGGGACTGACAGTACTCAGTTTTTATTTGGGAGGGCTGTCCATTCACTGGGGACACAGAACACAGGTCACAGTAGAAGCAGCACCATGATGGTAAATGGGTTCCACGGTTTGGCTTCCACACTGCCCCCCCCCCCGCGCCCCGCCCCAGCTCCATGGCTTTGGGCAGCTTCTGTCTCTCAGCTTGTCTCCTCAGCAGGCTTCCCTTTGCTTTGCCCAATACAGGCTCTTGTGATCGCTGGGATTTCCCTCCAAGCTGCCAACCTCTATGGCTACATCCTTTGTAAGATGGGGGGCGAGGGTGACATCAGTACAGTTGCGGCCAGCTTTCTGTCCCAGACGGTGTTCCAGATGGTGAGTGACCAAGTTCTTACCTCCCAGGTGCTCAAAGTGAAGGGCATCTGTTGGCAACTGCAATTCCTAACAGTCTTCCTACCAGCTGGCTAACCATGGTTTTTACTGTGTATATGTAAAATCTACCATATTGACTATTTCCAGTCTATAGTTCTAGCTCGCCATGATGGTATACATTTTTTTTAAAGGTTTATTTATTTAGTATACAGCATGTATGACTGCAGGTCAGAAGAGGGCACCAGATCTCATTATAGATGGTTGTGAGCCACCATGTGGTTGCTGGGAATTGAACTCAGGACCTCTGGAAGAGCAGTCAGTGCTCTTAACCTGAGCCATCTCTCCAGCCCCTGATGGTATACACTTTTAATCTTAGTACTCTGGAGCAGAGGCAGGTGGATCTCTGAGTTTGAGACCAGCCTGGTCTAAATGAGTTCCAGCCCAGCCAGGGCTACATAGTAAGATCCTGTCTCAATAGATAAATAAGCAAATAAATAAATAAAAAGCATAATAGGTAAATTAGTTCTAGGGACAGCACTGTGCAGATGCCATGGTCTAGCTCCAAAACCTTCTCACCTCCAACAGGAGCCCGGTCCTTTTCACACCAGCTCCCCAGTGTCCCTAGCTGCTGGCACCCACCATCCTGTCTGTAAGGGACTGACAGCTCCTATCAGCACAGTCGGAATCTGACAGTTTGTGACTACTGTTTTGTTTTGTTAAAGATTTATTTATTTTGTATATGAATGCTCTATCTGCATGTCCACCTTTATGTCAGAAGAGGACACCAGATCTCATTACAGATGGTTGTGAGCCACCATGTGGTTGCTGGGAATTGAACTCAGGAACTCTGGGGGAGCAGCCAGTGCTCTTAACCGCTGAGCTATCTCTCCAGTCCTACTGTTTAGTTTTAAGTGATATTTAAAACTATAGAATTGGAGGCTGGAGAGATGGCTCAGCGGCTTAGAGAACAAAGCTTTTGCAGAGGAGCCAGACTGGGTTCCCGGCACCCACATGGTGGCTCAGTCATCTGTAGCTCCAGTTCCAGTGGATCTGACACCCTCTTGTGATTTCCACAGGCACCAAGCACACACATTAATACATGCATACATTCACTCAGGCAAAACACTCACACCCATAAAATTAAATAAAACAAAACCCTACAGAATTGGCCAGGGAGATGGCTCAGTAGATAAAAGCACTGGATGTGTAAGCCTGACAAACTAAATTCAATCCCAAGAATCGACAAAAGCCAGATGTGGTGGCATACATCTATAATCATGACAGTTCTGGGGTAAGATGAAAGGTAGATATAGAAGTTCATGGGCAACTAGCCTGGAGTATACAGTGCAGAGATAGGGGAGAGACCCTGCCTCAAAAACAGGGTGGAAAGAGAAAACTAATTCCCCAAAAGTTGTCCTCTGATTCCCATAGGTACATCATGGAATGCACAAACCTGCACATACACACATACAAAAAAGAAAAAAAAGAAAAACCACCCCGCAGAATTAAGGAAAGAGTGACAAAGCCATCTGTTTTGTTTTGAAGGCAGGAAATAGTTTTTAAAATAATTTATTTTCATTTTATGTGCATTGGTGTTTCACCTGCATGCAGGTCTGTGTGAGGGTGTCAAAGTGAGCTGCCATGTGGGTCCTGGGAACTGAACCCAGGTCTTCTGGAAGAGCAGCCAGTGCTCCTAACTGCTGAGCCATTTCTCCAGCCCCAGGAATATTTCTGGAAGGGAAGGACGGAGGAGTTTTTGGTCTGACAGGTTCAGTGTGCAGTGGTCTCAATGCTGCTGCTTGTGGCAATGGCTCTGTCAGTCAGCCGCTCTTCACTGGGGCAGTCATGGCTCTTCTTGCCTTGCAGGCATCCCCAGGTGACATTCAGAAGCCCGGGCTTGAAGGACTGGACATCCACCAGCGTTAGGTGAGCAATGGATGCAGGCCTGAGGCCTGGGCACTCATGGGACATGCAGCCCCCAGGCAGCTGTGCCCGAGGTCTAGGGGACTCTCCTCAGTCCTCCAAGCTGACCTGGAGCAAGTCCAAGCTGGAGCCCTGAAGTTTAGGCCTGTCCAGAACCACTGACCTTCAGAAAGGTCACACCTTCCCCACAGAGACCCCAGCACATTCCAACAGTACGTGTGTAAAGGGAAAGGAGAGGACAGGGGAGGGGGTTGCCCACCTTCTCCTGCCACACCACAGTGGTGTGGAAATCTGGAATGACTTCCCTCAGCAGCTCTCAGTTCCTATGTCTCACTCAGTCTCAGGTCAGGAGAGTTACACCAGTCTCTCAGAAGCACCAGGAAAGAGTTTGCCTGGGACCCTGGGAATTACTGGATGTCCTGAGGGTACCCACCACCCTATGGGTGACTTCTGGGCTTTTCTGGGGGGAGGGGGTTGATGGCCCTTAGCCAAAGCATGATCCCAGAGCTGGAGACCCAGTGTGGGCTGGGGCCGCTGTCACTTCCATCCACCTGAGGGAGCCACAGGCCTCCCTCTGCCCCTCCCTAGGTTTATACTTGAGGCAGAAAGAGCTCCTGGGAGTCTTTGGACTCCAGAAAGCAGCCCCTAAGGGACGGGTTCAAGGAGACCGTTTTATTTTACGATGAATGGCACCTGTATGCAGAGTACCTATACCTTTGATCTGGAGGAAGCAGGCAGATAGGTGATTAAAGTCTTAAGGAAGTGACTTCAAATCCTGTCAGCATCTGCTGGCCACGGCCCCACCTGTCCCCCGCTGACCACCTGTGCCTGCAGGTCCTGTCCCCTGATGAGGTTCGCATTATGTGACTGACGAGAACCACAAAACTCTCGGATTCCTAGAAAATAAGTGAGGGGTGAGCTCTCGCCTGTCCGCTCTGCAGGACCAGGCCCACAGCTGCCATGGCTCGCTCTGGCCATCCACAGCCAGGATTTCAATCAGTGTTACTGGCCTTTACAGCTTGTATCTCCCACGCCATCAACTTCACCCTCCCTGTTTCTCAAACTAAGAACTAGCTCACAACATGGACACATGGGGAGAAGTCTCCCGAGGAGCCATGCTGATCATGCGGGTGGCCAGCACCCTTCTGTCTCTGCACACTTCACCCCTCTAGGTACTTCCTGCCAGTAGCTGTCTCAAACACTTACTTTGAATTATACTTCGGTAGGCTGCTGTGGCTGGTGAATCTGGGGCTTCAACAAAGAACGACTGCCCTTTGTCACAGCTCTTACCTTAAAAAGACAGAACACGAGACCCTGTGAACGCCCCACTCTTGGTGCTTGCTGTGGCATGGCTACCTGGGGCTCCCCACTCAAGGAGAGCAAAGCTGGGGAACACAACCGAGGCCTCAGCTGCATCCCCGCCCCAGCAACCCTCACTTCTCTTTGCTGTTGCCGCAAGCCAGCTGGGCGGTACATGGCAAATGCAGATTCCAGGTCCAAAGAAGTGTGTCTGCTGTTCTGGGCGGGCCCAGGAATCTGCATTAGATCCACTAACCAGCAGCCCAGGAAAATGAGAATACAGGGAAGGGAATCAACAGAGACAGTGTGTGTGGCAAGACCTAAGGACTAAGAAAGGAAATGCAGGCAGGGTGAACGGAGCATCTCCTCAGAAATGCACATGTCAATGTAGAACACATACAGCCTCTCGTGCTTAGAACAGGCCTCACGGTGCACACACCCTGCCCTCTGCTCTCTCCCGTATCAGTTCATTTTTATGGTCATCCACACTGGGATGGATCTGTCACATACACACACACACACACACACGGACCATATGTGACCCAGGGAGACATAGCTCATTGGTTGTGAATCTCCCTTGTGCCCAGGTCCCCATGCTGCTGCCTGGCATACACCAGGCCCTGCCAGGAAAGGCCAGCTCCCACACTTGGGCGCACAGCCACCTGCAGCTGAGCCCAATCTGGTCAGGCTCTTCCCTCTCAGACCCAGGCACCCGGCACTCACAGGCGAGTCCTGTCACAGGCACTCAGCACTCACACAAGCTCAACTCTTATCTTGGGGAACTGAAATCTGGGGGAAGCTGAGCCCTTGCCTGTCTCCTCTTCCCTCCGCAAGCTGATGTCCTGGGTGAGCCTGGGATGGAGATAGGTGTGTACTCCTTCTCCAGTTTTGAAGCCGCTCAGAGTGCAAATGTCAGGATCCTATGATACCCAGCATGGTCCCCTATAGCATATCAGTGCCCACCCAAGTGGCACGGAGTGGGCTGTCTCAGCGCTTGCTGGTGACGAAGGGGTCCTGCAGTCCTAGGGGTATGTGGCTGGGGTTTCATGGAGGTGGATCTGAGGTACTGCCCCAGGCCTCACTGGCTGCAGCCTCTAAGGAACTCTGTGGGTCCCGCTCTGACCCACCACTGCTGTTCCGAGCCCGCGAGCTCCTATGACAGCTGTACAAGCAGCATAAACCCTCAGACTCACCGATGAGTGGATCCAGCGGCACTCTGCCCAGGAGAGGGATCTTCAGGTCCTGGCACAGGGCCTCTGCACCCCCAGTTGTGGGAGGGAAAATCTGAGACTCTTTCTGTGAAGCAGAAAGAGGAGGAAGTTTTTCTCTGCTTCTGTATCTTAGGACACACTAGTTTCCAGATGTTTTAAAGCAGTGGCTGATTTTTGGATGTGAAACTCCAAAGCATCTTCACTCAGGCAGAGGAGGGCTTGATGGAGACCCTGCCTTCCTGACACAGCAGGGAGAGCAGTCTAGAGAAGCACCCTGCTGTTTCCTCACTAAGACAAGGGTGTGTAGCGGCCCCACCCCTGGGACCCTCACCTTGCACTTGGGGCAAATGAAGCCGCTCATGTTCTCCACCACTCCAATAATGGGCAGCTTCACCTTGTGGCAGAAGCTTATCTCTTTCCGGACATCCTGGAGGGCCACCTCCTGGCAAAGTTCACAGAGCAGTTATCCCACAGCCACAGGGCACTGGAAGACACGTGTGGTCCAGGGGATGGCCGTGACACTGGGCACACCATCAAGTGCTGGGGAACGTGACCATGGCCTGGTGCTCACTCACCTGAGGGGTGGTGAGGATCACTGCCCCATCAATGTGCGCCGCAGCCAGATACTGGACGACAGAGAGGTGTTCATCGGATGTGCCGGGTGGGGTGTCTACAATGAGGTAGTCGACATCTCCCCAGTCTACATCATGGAGGAACTGCTTGATCATGCCTGGAAGGGAGCAAGGCTGAGTGTGTGCCCTCCTTCTGTACACATGTCCAGAAGGATCTTCCAGTCTACAGGAGCATTCCTACACTCCATAGCAGGGGCCCTCAACAAGTGATACTGTTGCCCCCAGGGAGCAGGAGGTGAGGCCTGCAGATATGTTGGGTGGTCATGAGGTCAGGAGTACTACTATCATTATGTTATGTATGGTACGGACATGTTGCCCCAACAGACTCATGTGACCGAAGTCAGTAATGAGAGAAGGTGGCTGCCCCAGGCCATGCTTTCTGTATGCCCTTGTTTCCCCCACACTGACCCAGCAAGGGGGTTTCACTTCACACTTCCTTCCTTGACACAAACCAGCCACGTGACACCACACTACAAATAACTTTAGGATTCTGAAAGCCTTAAGAACAGAAGAGCTCGTAGCAGGTACTAAAATGTCTACACTGAAAACTGGCATTTCTCATACCAGGTCAAGCACTAGAATGCAGGACCTGGGCTCTGTCCCTAGTACCAAAGCAATAGCATTAAATACCACTGAAGTCATGCATGCAGTCTCCCTGACAGTCTAGTCTGGATGTAGGCAGAACAAGGAATTTGAGCCAGAGGAGCAAAGTGACAAACCATTTTTCTTTGGTCCCCTCCAGATGACAGCATCATCAGGGCTGCTGAGCAGGAAACCCACAGACATCACCCCCAGGTTGTCCTCCACATACTGCAGAGGGAATGGGGAGAAACACGTTTGCTTGTGGGAACAGGGGCACAACACACCTACACAAACCACATGTGGGTACTTCCCCGGGGATCTGGTAAAGAAAAAAACTTCAAGATGAAGGTATCATGTGCCTCACACCTACGCTTGCCTTTGCAGCCTTAGGTGGCCATGGTGAGATCTACAAGAGGCCATGTCTGGCCTGTGCCTCAACGACAGGTTAACGAAGCTAAAACAAACACCATCTCCTCAGGTGTCCTAACTGGATGAGCAGAGACCTCACAGTCTGGTCTTGGAGGTGAGGTTTGACTGGGACACACTGGTCATTCAGTTTCACAACACCACTTCGTAGCCATGGAACCAGAGAGCACAGGTCCATCGGCCCCATACAGACAAGGTCTGCTGGTCCTCGATCTTACCTGCATGCTTGGAAAACAGCCTCAGTAAACATTCAAGTTAAGCAATATTTTTGCCAACTCCACCTCCATCAGATACACCTATCTCACACCCTGCCCCCCAGGAAGGCTAACTCACCACTGGAGACCAGCCGGAGCCACTCTGGTGAACCTGTGGGGACATGGCAGTCATTCTTATCACTGTGCACTCTGGTCACATCATCACTGACAAAGTGTCCAAAGAGGATGGTTTCACACAGTGCGATTCACCATCCTGTACTGCATCACTCAATAAAAAAGGTTTTTAAATTATATTTATTTAGTGCGTGCATGCATGTGTATGTATATGTGTCTTGACTGCACACGGAGGTCAGAGGACAACCTTCAGGACTCTCCGTCCACTGTGTGGATCCCAAGAACAGATTTCAGTCCTCAGCACCTTCATTTGCTAGCTGCTGAGTTCTTAATGGAGGTTTGAGAAATGAAGACCTTATTTGACACAAACCCTCTATCCCTGTCTGTTTTTGTCAAAGAACCAAAATCATTCAAGTTCAGGCACAACTTTGAGGTGTTTAAAAAGAATGAGAGGCTGGCCAGCTGCTGCTTCTTCAGGCACATGGAAGGCAGCCAGGTCACGATGCACAGGAGCAGAAGGGATCTACTACCTGTGACCTTTAGTGCCACAGTTGATTCAAGGCTACCCAAAAGGGGTGCAGAGATGGCTCCACAGTTAAAAGCACTGGCTATGCTTTCAAAGGACCTGGGTTCAATTTCCAGCATCTGAATGTGGTAGCTCACATCTGTCTGTAATTCTAGTTTCTGGCAATCTGACAGCCTCTTTGTCTCTTTGGACAATGTGAGCATGTGGTGCACAGACATACATGCAGAAAAAACACCCCCACATACACAAAATGAAATGAAATACAATTTTAAAAGTTGCCCTTAGGCCAGGCATGGTGGCACACACCTTTAATCCCAGCACTCAGGGGACAGTGGCAAGTGGATCTCTGTGAGTTCCAGGCCAGCCAGGGCTACCCAGTGAAAGTCTAAAAAAAAAGAAAGAAAGAAAAACACTTGCCCCAGTTAAGTGGCCTGAGCCCTGACTCCATGATACTATCCACAGAGGGCAAGGGCCCAAAGTCACCAGGAAGTCCCATGGGGCTACTTCAGGACCTGGACCTCGAGGGCTGGGCTCTGTTCTGTTTATTATGAAACTTGAACTTAAGCAACTTCCACCTACACATCAGACGGTGCTTCTCCTCTTTCTAGACAGGTCCTGACACCCCTTGGCCCCCTAACCAAGTGATCCTCCCAACTCACCCTCACACGTGACTGGACTACAGCTTGTAGCACCATGCCTGGCCATAAATCATGCTTGTACTATAAGCAGCTCACACCTAGGTTGGGTTGTGTATTGTGCAAGGGCTCACTGACCAGGGAAGAATCCTGTTTTACTTCAACATGGGTGACCCTGCACACACTCACATCCTCAGAGCGCACCCAAGGCCTCAGCAGTACGACCAAGAGCAGCCTGGGTGACCTTCCGATTTACTGAGGCTGAAGGCTCCTGCTCTTGCCTGCAGCTAGTGTTCTCCACTAGGTCTCCGTACCGGGTAGCCTGTCCCTCCACTCTGCCCTCCCATTTTCTGCCTTGCTTGACACTCTGTGCCTTGAGGAGAACGTGGAGCTTCTGAGCCCCTGCCCTGCTTCTGCACACCGCCAGGGGTCCCTCCTGCCCTGTCATTCTCCAGTCTCACAAGCAGGGTCTCAGCTCCCTAGAGGAGACCACAACACTGAGGGTCCCTAGCTTCCATGCAGACCCACACACTCTCGAGCCGCGAGTTAGCGCTCAGAGCTGAATTTCCACCTCTCACGTCTGCATCCTGCTGGCTGTCTCCCTCCCCTCCCCACGAAGGCACCAATGCTTCTCACAGACGTGGACGCACTTTATGCCTAATCCCAAACCCCCAAATCCACAGCCGCTGAGGAAGAACAGGGGCATGTGCATGTGCTCGCCCACAGAGAAGCAGTCAAGTACTCTGACGGCCATCACCTGCTCTCCTTCCAAGCCCATGATCTTGGGAATCGACGGCCCACAGATATCGATGTCCAGAAGGGCGACCTGGGAATGAGAAGAGGAAGGTCACTGACTGCTAGACCCTCGAGATGTGCACATCGGGACAGGACACAACCACGGACACATCAAAACAGACAACTGAGCTTCCACTTTCTCAGGGGAAAGGTGTAACATGGCCCTTCCAGGCCACTGATACAGTACAACTCCTAGGGCGCGTCATCCATACAGGCCCCAGTGTGGAACAAGGTGATCTTACAGCAGGCCATCAAGCCACTCAGAGATTTAGGTCACTCAGTCAAGGAGTGTCCTGTGATTTCTGTATCACAGAAGACGACGCTGAGATTCAGAGGTCTGGAGACTTGTTCAGTGCGTAAGGAACAGAGACAGGACAAAGTCAAAGTTCCCAATGCCAGTGCTCTTCCCATGACACTTTCAGGCCTACAGAGGAGGGGAGGAGGTCTGAATAGAAATTCCGGCTGACTTCTAGGCAAGCACCATTTTCCTGTGACCAAGTTGATAACAAACTTCCCAAAGAGCCTTAAAGTAAGAAAGGACATCCTGGAGAGAGGGCTCAGACACTGAGAGACCACGCTGCTCTTCAACAGAGCACAATTCAAAGCACCCATGTCCAGCAACTCAAGACCATCAGAACTCCAGTTTCAGGGGATCTGGTGCCCCCTTCTGGCCTCCACAGACACGGCACTCATGCACACTCCCCACAAACACATCCTTTTAATTGTATTTTATGTGTACATAAAATTATATTTTATGTATCTGTGCACCACATGCATGCCTGGCCCATGTAGGCCATAAGAGGGCATCAGATCCCCTGGAACTGGAGTTATAGACAGTTGTGAGTTGCCATATGGGTGCTGGGAATTGAACCTGGCCCTCTAAAAAGGCAGTCAGTTACCAATACCCACGTTGGGCAGCTCAAAATTGCCTGTAACTCCAGCTCCAGGGTATCTAACACCCTTTTCTGGCCTCTCTAGACACTTGGCCACACATGGCAGTTACACAGATACACATACATGCAAATAAGAATAATCTTTAAAAATATGAAAGGAATCTGGGAAGTTCTTGTTGGGGACTTAGGCAGTCTCAGAAGAAACTGTACCTAAGTCTGTCCCCACCCTTCCTGACAACTGGCCCGTGGCAGCACGCGCTGGCCTTGTGAAGGGCAGCCATTCATCTTGAGAACTGGTGGTCTGGAAACTGGAGTGCAGCACCCCTGGGGAACTTTGGAACTTGCCCCATGCTCTCTTCTCTCCTCCTTCTCCATCCTACTTCCTCTACATGCTGGCTGACTGTGGTACCGGTGTGTACCGGGACACAGAGAACTTCATCACTGAGATCCCTGTTTGCCTCCTGCGTCCTCTGCCGGCCTGGCCCCAGAGTGCAGCACAGGGACATCTGCCACCTGAGGATGGGACCTGGGTCCCTGACATGAGAAATCAGAGAACCTCTGCAGCTCTAGAGGTCTCCAGCCACCTGTCTCATCAGCTCATTCTGAGGAAAGATTTTCCCCACAAGCCAGAGAAGGAACTGAGCCAAGTGATACCAGGATGCAATACCCACATTGACAGTCACCTCACTGTCCAGGAAGGCAGTGAGAGCTGTGCTCAGGATCTCCCTGGGCTGCTCCCTGTGGCAGATGACACCTGAGTCACCATCACTGATTTCTTCCCTCCTCAGCCTAGGTCAGGCTAGTGAGTGCCTGCTGAAAACCAGGCCTGTTTGTCCATCCGCAGGACCTCCCAGCTGGCTGATGGTGAGGAGTCCCTCTCACAGTAAGTGGGGAGTGGACGTGCTGTGGCTATCAACTCTGCCCCCTTAAAATGTGAACTTTCTTCCCTAACAGGGTCCTGGTTCTAACTCTGGGCCTTCCAAGCCACTTCACATGAAGGCTTCTCCCTCAGTCTTGCCTATCAGAGCTGCTGGCCTTTGAAATGAGTTTGAGGGTTTAAGGCTCCTCCAGCTGTGGAGTCTACAAACCCAGGGAAGGGTCTTAGGTGCTTCCTCACACGCCCTGAACTGACAGTACCGATGCTGCTCACCTTTCATCCATGGTGCCCAAGATCATCCATGGTACTGTGCAGGAGTTGGACATGTGCAATGGAAGCTGGCAAGCGATCCTCCTAGGCCCTTGGCCTGGACTACAAAGGCTCCTTCATTTACATACACCTTCCTTCCTCTGCCTGATGTCAGGACTCAACTCCACTTCTGCTGTCTTTACCCTAGGTCTTTTCCTAACAAGATGACAAACAGCAGCTTGGAGCAGTCGAGTGCCAGGCTTCTACTGGTCACAGAAGGCAGCCTGAGGGCTGGAGAGACTGCGCTCTGGACGCTCATCAAGCTCCATCCAGTGTGACCACGTCTACACTGTGCACGGCAGATGGCCCTGCAGTCATTGCCAGGATGCCGCCCAGAGAATGCAGGCTTCCCTACAGCCTGCTTCCAGTTTTGAGACAGGGGCTCACTCTGTAGCACAGGCTGGCCTGGAACTTGTGGCAGTCCTCTCAAGTGCCAAGACTACAGGTGTGAGTCAGCACACCCAGCTCACTGTCTTTTTTTTTTTTTAAAATAACTCTAACTGCATAAAGAAATACAGCTTGTCAGGTCCTGTCTCCACACTGAACTGCATACTGGAAGGTCTTGACAGGTGTGTAGCAAGACACTTGTATGGAGGACAGGCACATGAACTTAGCTCCCCATGCCTGGCTGGGGCAGAGGCTGTTGTAGACACAGCTGTGTAGACGCAGCTGTCTAAGAATATTCCCAACAGCTCTAGAGCCAAAACTTATTCTGGCCAATACAGGTCAATTTTTGTTGTTAGAATTTTTTTTTTGTGGGAGGCAGGGACTGATTCTCAAACATATGCTCCACCACTGTGCTGCAGTCCCAGCCCCTTATGGAAAATGCAATGTGATCAAAAAGACTGCACTGTACTAGGCAATATAAATTTGACCCTTTGGTGGCAAGAGACTATCCCCTAACAGAACATTTAACCTGCTCTGACCTGTGGGTTAGGTAGGTTGCTCTAAAAGCATTAATCATCCTCTGAATTTCAGTTAGCAAAGTGCAGCCGTGATGAGGACGGTTGTCGGGGACCTTTCGAGGACACTGTGCGGGAGGAGCAGTACTTGCACTTTAACTGCTCCCTCTCACCCAGGCCTCTGAGCCCCATCTCACAGATGAGAAAATGGAGGCAGAGAGTCTGGCAACCAGCCCGGGCAT